TTTTTTGATCGTCAATGGGGATGCATTGAATTTTGGTTTTGTATTGTGCATTTCAATTGTCTGCGACCATGTGAAGGACTCGAGTTCAAATTTATTTCATGGATTTTTGGGGGAAATTTGGTTAGATTTTACCTATCTTCTCAATTCGTATGTGACCGAGCTTTGCTAGTATGCATCGAATGCCAAATCACTATTTTGCTGACCAAATCCTGGCTCTTCATGTCTTTTTTTTTTTTTTTTNTACAGAGAGTTGAACCGTATGCCATGTAGGCTTTGATTGTATATAAGAATTGATCTGGTCTTTTTCCATTGTATGGCTCAATGTTTATACTCTTTGACTTGATAAAGTAAACATGCACTAATCATTTAATAATTTGATGGCCAGGCCTATATTGATTTTGAAATATCCATGTCTGAATTGGAAAGAGCCAGAGCTCTATACGAAAGGCTTCTGAATCGCTCGAAAAACGTGAAAGTATGGATCAGTTATGCAAAGTTTGAGGCATCTGCTATAGACGAGGGCCTTCAAGAATCAGAATTGACTGAAAGTGATTTTGAACAGAAGAAAAAATGCCTTGATCTTGCCAGATGTAAGATATATAAATTCCTAGACAAATATCTCTTTTCATTATCACATTCATCGCCTTGGTTTTGTTCTCAAGTGTAATCTAATTTATTGTGGTTAACTAAATCTCGCAATTTTTCTACCAGCTCTGTTTGAAAGAGCCCTCAACTATTTTCGAGATTCTGCCCCCGAATTGAAAGAGGAAAGAACAATACTTTTGGAAGAGTGGTTGAACGTGGAAAACAGTTTTGGCGAGCTTGGTGATGTTGACTTGGTCAGGAGTAAGCTACCGAGAAAACTGAAAAGGAGAAGGCATATTGAAAATGAGCATGGTCGAGGCGGGTATGCATTATTTTTCTTAGACCCATTTTATTTTTATCCTCAGAGGAAACTATTGTGGTTTATTATATAAAAGTATTGGCTTAGCTGATTTTAATTACGCAATGAAAATTGAAGTGACTCGTTCTCATGATATTGATAAATATATAATGAATTTCTCTGATTAATATTTCTCAATGAATTGCAGGTTTACCGAGTATCTCGACTATTTGTTCCCGGAAGAAACACAGACGACAAATGTCAAGATATTGGAAGCAGCCTACGCGTGGAAGAAGCAGAAGACCTAAGTTAACCCATGAAGGCGGTTTGGTGACAAGAATTAGGTAATGTAGATATTAAGTTGGTGTTAAATTATGAATTTCATAGTATGGGAAATATGTATATATTTTTTTTTTATGGAAGTATATCGGACTAAAGGGTAGAAAGTCTAATCCCAGCATTTGTGATATAATATAGAAATTAGACACAGATTTGTGGATGTACTATGGTAATATCCATACTATATGAGACTGAGTATTGTTTGTCAATGATTTAGGAGGAATTTTTTTTGGGTCCAGTGGACTTGTTATCTGAACAAGTGAATATAACTGCACTCAACAGATAAAACTATTTCAGTTTTTTTATTATTTTGTGTGATTTATATATGTTTTAGAGATATAATGAGGTCAACAGATAAAATATATGTACGAAGGTTTTAGTATGTGGATATTTTCAAATTGGTGTTGTTATACCTTATGGAGTGTGACAAGTAATTAATTGTCATTTTTTTGTGAGATGAAAAAAGTGATATTATTGTTCTGGAAGTTGAAGTATGAGAGGAAGAAGTAGATATTAGCTGAAAATGTATTGTCTCCAGGCCATAGAAGCCTGAAAGCTTCAAACTGATTAAATTAAGAGAGAATATTAGGTGGGAAATTTGAAAAGTCCTGTGTGTGTGTTTAGAAAGTTTAACTAGAAGCATAATCAGAATCCAAAGCTCCCATTCCCCTGGTTTTTCTAAACTTATTAGTTATGAAGTGGAGCAGAATGTGACATTTGCATATACTGAAATATGATTCCTTTCATATAAAGCCTAAGAAAGCTGTAGCTATGATTCCTTTCATATAAAGCCTAAGAAAGCTGTAGCTCGGTTTGTTGGCAATTGCTCATGAACCTTAGTGGATTTTCACCAATTTGGTAGAACCTTTGTTTGAAGCACATTTATATCTGATATGTATAATTAATTGCCAACGGAGACCTCCTGATGCACCGGTGCGTAGGGGAGTTTTACAGCGGGTCGAGGATGTCAAGAGAGGTAGAAGTCGGCCTAAACTCACTTGGGAAGAGTCGGTTAAGAGAGACCTTAAAGATTGGAATATCTCCAAGGATTTAGCGGTGGATAGGAGCGCTTGGAGGCTCGCTATCAACGTGCCGGAACCGTGACTTTTGCTCATTTCTCTCTCTCTCTCTCTCCCCCTTTCTCTCTCTCTCTCTCGTCGATCTCTTCCTTTTGGTTCGAGTCTTTTTGTGTTTCTCTTGGGTTTCATCTCTAGCCTACCCCGACTTGCTTGGAATTAAAGGCTATGTTGTTGTTGTTGTTGTTGTATGTATAATTAATTGCCATGTTAAAAAAAATTATAAATGTTATTACACTTACTAGATAGATTGGATCATGCAACCTTAAAACTACTTCCATTGAAAATGAGTAATTAATCTTCCCTTGCATTGTATGATACAGATATTACACAAATATATTTCTACAATTATACTTGCAACAATTTCATTTCAACTTCATTAGAGAACCATTACTTGAACATTTGATAATACAAGAACACCTCTAGCTAGTATTGTATAATAGGTGTGACAGGACCAAGTAGAATTTGGAATTTCATTGCACCTAGTGCATTATTGAATGCTAAATGAAATTGATGCTCATATATTCTAAAAATTTATTTAGTTTTGTTGAAGCTCTGTAATAATATCCCCATCTGACCCATAACCTGCCCCACTTTCTCCTCACCAAACTTGTCAATACTCTCGTTTTCCCACCACTTTTCCCCACACGTCTCGGCCTTGAGAACCTCCATTTGTCCCTCTCTCTCATTCTCGATTTCCAACTGCTCTCCGAGCCTCTCGAGCATCCAGTTGATTTGAGAAACCCTAATTCGGGAATGGGCCTCCAATAGACGGGCTGCATCACTTTTGTTGGGCCCTTGGATAGGGCTTAGTGTCCTTCCGAAAACGGACTCCACATTCGGATGGAAAAATGAGAAGGGCTTGCCGGTGGGTGAGAAGATGACGAGCCCGATGTCGATTTTGCAGAGCTTGCTGAGCTCGCTGGCCTTCTTAAAAAGCCCGAGACGGCGTTTGGAGAATGTGGCAAAACAGTCACTCTCTTTTTCTATTTTTTTTATGGGTATCCTTTGGCGGCCTTTTGTTCTTTTCACCTCCATATTTTGTTAGGTGGGAAGGTGAAAATGGAGAGTAATTTGCTTTCTTGAGTTATGCATGTATGTTGCTTTGGCATTTGCTAGTATTTAAGCACGAGCATGCAATATGCGTTTCGAGTTCTCGTGATTATGTCGTTACGCATTTTAGACTTTTATTGGGAAAATATCTATTAGAAGATGTGAGATAGGAAAAGAATTTATGTTATTTACGGAAGAACGAGTCAGCTGTGTGTAAATGAAAATAGAGACGTTAGTTAGTATGTTATTTGGCGGCTTCCAACCGTTAAGGATATAACCGTTGGAATACGATATGTTCTTATTTGTATACTTTGATTGGATTATGAATGTGAAATAGAGGACATAATATTAATTGCAAATGCATTGTGATATTTGACTATGACTTGTTCAAATTTTCATTTAGTGTACGTGCTTGTTATTTCAACATGGATGAATTTAAATTGTAAAAGAGTAACAATAACTATTCACTGACTAATGACGGAATTTTTAACTGTATATTGGATGATTTAATAATTTCTGTAAAAAAAAGTTATACAGATAACCAAATCAGGCCCAAATCAAAGTCATCACTTTTTCATTCCTTATATTTGTTATAGATAGGCCCAAAAATATATTTATTCCTTTTAATTCAAATATTCAATAATTGATCAGGATTCAGGACAAAGAAATGCGCCCCATGGCAAAGCTCCTCTTCTGGTCAATGTCGCCGGTCACGGCAGCCCGTATTCTCGAATATGATATTTCTTGCTTGATTGCTTTATATGATTAATTACTTTATTTCTCCCTTTGTTATTTTTGACAAGGTACTTGGAATTAATTGACATAAGTTTTAATAGCTTTTCTGCATAAATGAATGGAATATTATGGAAATAGTTGGTAATATCTAGTATAGGAGTTTGTTTAGTGTTTGTAGGAAACATTGTTTTCTATATTATTCGTTATAATTTTCTCTTTTTCGTCCTTCTATTTCAATAGAAAAATATATTCATGATAAGAANACAAAAAAAAAAAAATATATATATATATATATATATATTAAATGTCGTTGTATAAACATCCGAATACTTGCCGGGTTTTACCATTTGATTAATACATGTTTTGGATCCAATACATATCCATATGAGTGTGTTCTTGATCCAACGGTGAAAAATTTGGTACAATGTACTTGTAGGGTGAAATCTCCCGTCAATTGTGCAATCCCAATTTATTATGGTTTCTTATTTCTGAATGATAATTATCAAGGTAAATAAGTTCGGTTTACATTTTATTTAAATATTTAATTAGAATAATAATAATAAAAAAGTTAATAGAAATAATTAAACAATTCTTCCATATACTATGAGATATTGCACATTTAGTCCCAAATTTCCTCTTTTAACCACTACTGCAAGACAATAGAACACTATAGGCGAGGATTGTAATTTCAAAATTCACCAATTGCAAAGCTAACGCCATATCTAATTTTGCGTCAAAATAACATAAATCCCCAGGAATTAAACAAAATGAAAAAGCAAACAGAGAACGACATCTAGTTTATTCTCAACCTCACTTGGCCCAGTCCAATTCATTGAGTCATTCGGGAACCTGCGATAGACCAGGCCCAGTTTTAGGAGTTTCAGGCCCACTAGGGCCCTGGAAAATTCCTGATCTTCCGGACTGCTTAGGAGTCTGCAACAGCCCAGATTTAATGTAGGGAGGTATCAACCCACCAAGGCCCCCTAAAATCCCTGGTATCCCGGGCAGCCCAGATCCAGAGTTTGGAGGTGTAGGCCCACCAAGGCCCGGAATAATCCCTGACAGCCAAGGGATTTGTGGCAGCCCAAACCCAGTATTGGGAATTGCCGGCCCAACTAGGCCCGGGATAATCCCTGGTACCTTCGGCAGCCCAGGGATCTGCGGCAGCCCAATCCCAGCGTTGGGAGGTGCCGGCCCACCAAGGCCCGGGAAAATACCTGATATCCCCGGCAGCTCAGAGATCTTTTCCAGCCCAGGCCCAGAGTCGGTAGGTGCCAGCCCACCAGTGCCCGATAAAATTCCTGATTGTGAGGGAAACTCTATTAGCTGAAGCCCAGGCCCATCTTCGAAAGGTGCCGGCCCACCAGCCTCAGGAGGAAATCCGATACCGCCACGTGATGCATCAGAAAAATGAGCAATGCTGATTAGTAAGGTGGCCGTATATACGAAGGAGACCGCAAGTGAGGCCGTGTTTTCAGGCATTTTCTTGTTGATACTCACACTTTGCAAAGGTGTATTAAGGGAGTTTGTTATTTGTGAAAAAATTAGAAAGGGCTATTTCTTTTTAAATAAAGGTTAGAAGGGGTTGAAGATCAGTAATGTAATGTGTAACGTATGCTGTTTTCATTTAATTTAATTCAATTGAAGTAAGTGTTGTTTATGAATTAAGAGGCGATTTCATGTGAAACTGAAATTTGCAGAATTGAATTCCATTACTTTAAGATAATGCTTATAAATAAAAATACATACAAAAACAAGGATATATACAATGAAGGTCCCCCGAACAGACCATCTCAACCAAACCAACATCAAGAATTCGAACCTACAAAATCTTCAAACAACACAAATCAACGGCACATATTATCGTCTTTGGTCGTCTTAATCGACTTTTTTCGACAGATATAAATAAATCCTGCAAAACGGACATATACAATTTCCAATCTCGGTTCATCTCTACAAAAGCCCAACAACAATAATGTTGACAATAACGTTCGTCTGTAGAGAATATTGTGGATATAATAATCTCACATTTTAGCTCCTTACAAAATTTGGGAGAAACGATTAAGCGAACTCCAAACTTTCGAAGAAATACACGTGCACTTGGCTTGTTGAGGTTATCATAAACCCAAACTTTCACATGTAATCATTTCTCGGTTTGCAATGGGAGTTCACAGGTGGGAAGAAAAGTGAATTCTAGACCAACTGAAGAAGTTTGATACTGCCGGATGAATTGGCGGCAACCACCATATTCGACTTTTTTCTCCAGCAAACGCTCGAGACAAACAGTCCATTGCAATTTTCAGTTTCCTTACCAGTTATGGGATCGAATGAACCAAATTTGTGGGAGGTAATTGGCATGGGAAGTGATCTATGGTAGGCATAGACCTGCAAGCATAGGTGCATAAATGCAGACATTAAGATCTAAAAAGCTCCAGAAAATTCAAAAAAACAAAATAAGATAAATAAAGGTGTAGAAAAGGAAGAAAAAAAAACATGAGTGAACACATAGTAGCCAGCGGAAATTATAAACATCCTCTTTACATTTGCTTCTCCTCAACAAATGCACCCATCTAAAAAGGGGATTCCATTAGGTAAAACACTAAAAATGGACCCCAGAGGAAAGTTTGCAACATACAAAAAGGATATGTGCAAGTAGAGATGCTAAATGGGCCACAGGGCTCATAGGGCCAGCCAGTGCAAGTTCGAAAATGGATTTTTCTTTCTATCTTTGGTGACTCATTAATGATCCCTTACAAGAAAGAGAAATGAATTAGAAGTGAGAACTACCTCATTCGTCTCAGAGCCGCATGCTATGTATCCATCAGCAACCGACAGGCCAACAAAGTTCTGCAAGAGAAATAAATCCTTAAACTCAGGCATCAAATAACTACAAATTTTTACCACATGACCAAAATTTGCCTGATCATAGCTAAGTGCTGTTAAATTAAACGAGCCTAGCTCAGCTCGGCTAGGCTCGAGTTCAAGGCCTTAACGAGCTGACCTCGAGCTCATTTAATTCTCGTTTGGTTAACGAGCCGAGCTCGGCTCAATAATGCTCCTTAAGGCTAGAAAAGAAATTTTTTATGTAATTTTCTATAGTTCAGCTCGTTAAAGCTCGAGATCGGCTCGTTAAGGCCTCGAGCTCGATTTCTGGCTCGTTTATTTAACGAGTCGAGCTCGGCTCGTTAAGAGCTCAACCAACCAACCTTCTCATTAGTGTGCCCACTGAGAGTCAACACGCAAGCATCTCTCGAAAAGGAGTGGGGACTCGTTCTCTTTAGATCCCAAACTTTCAAAGTATTATCAATAGATGCAGACACTATGGTCTCTGCATCCAAAAATTTCGCATAGCTGACTGCTCTTTCATGGCCAGCCAACACGCACCAAGGCGTGGATACGTTTCGAAGATCAAAGCAATATGTTTTGTAATCGGCAGAGCTGAAGGACAACAAGTGAGTGGAGTGAGGGGAGAACTGAACACAACAGATGTTAGCGCTGTTCCTGATCGTGCATAAACTGTTCCTCTGCACCCAAAGGATAAACCAACAATCAGTTGCGAAAATAAACCAATCAAGGATTTTTTTTACAAGGGAATGATAAAAATATGATGTAGAGCGGATAGATGATATTTATATACAAATTAGGGATAAAAACACAACAAATATTGAGAAAAAAGATAAACCAGGAGAGATGGGAAACTTGAAAGCTTTTTGGTAAAAGTAAATTGGCAATGGCAATGCCTTACATCATTGATGCCCCAAATTTTCACCAAACGATCATCACTGCCACTGGCTAGCTTCCTAGGATCTACACGAGAGAAATCAACAGACCAAGCCCTTTGGCTATGCTCGGCGAATTGAAGAAACCCTTCACCAGTCGATGCATCCCATAACTAAAAGAATTAGGTAAGTTGGTGTCCATAATAGTAAAAGTAGTGGTGGTAGCAGTAGAGATCACAGAAAGAGCAGATAACATTTTAGAAGTAGATTAGTTGATAAAAATAATTTATTTATTTTTTTCATTTCATAAGGTTGAGTAATATTACATTAAAAAAAGAAAAGATATTACATAAAACCTTCTCTCATATGTTACAAGGAAATCCAAGTTTGTGGGTCATTTAACCCTAGTTGTATTTTGTTGATGAGTTTAAAGTGAATTTGCATTGCGGTTGGTGGTGCCAGAGATGTAGGCAATATTGGCCGATAATACAAAGGAATAAGGCTTAAAACTTACAGCCACGAATTACAACAATAGTACTATACCCAGAAATATGAGTGCGACAACTAGCCATGTATGAACCAATGGGTTATCGGCCCCCTACCATTACGGAAATATCCAAGGAAATTTAGGTAAAATCTATCAGCTTATAATCTTGAAAGAAGAAATTCAAAAATGAGAAACCTGTTATTGTTATTCTTAAAGAACTAAATAAGGGGAAAAAACTTTCTTTCAATCTTCCTTTCCCTTCTTGTTCAAGGATTTTTTTTTGGGTTACTCAGTAGTTTTAAAGAGTTAACAGACTGCTTAGGGTTCTAATTCAAATACATTGCACAAACAAGATATAACCTGTCATTTGCGATAATTTCAAATCAACTCTACCGCCATTCCTATAACTGTAACTTTCATTGGACAGACAGAACAAGAAGCAAGGAAATACATACCTTGACTACGCCATCATAATCCGTCGATGCAAGATAATTTCTGATATAGCTATTCCAGCAAACGCAGCTGAGCTTTGACCTATTCGACATCTCGACAGCTGGATAATGAATGCCAACAGAGTCATCGTAGAGACCTCCCCATTCGAAAATCTTGATCTTTTTCGATACTCCTCCTGCAGCTAAATACTCTTCATCCCGGTCAAAACTCAAGGAGCAAATAACATTTGCGGTGCTGTTAAATTCCCCATTCCTTATCACCCCTCGTACCTTGAATTTGTTATAGCGAGCATATTTGCATAGCCCATCATAAAAGCCCCCTAAATGGTCTGTGGTATGGTACTTGTCTTCATTTGCTACAGGGCACCAATTTTCGTGACTTCTGAAAAGCTCTCGATCCCTCTGTGTGGCTATATTGCTGTCCGAGAGCTGAATGTTGGATCTCATAGAAAAGTAAGCATCTTCTAGTTGCTTTATATTACGCATCATTTCTGTACCATTTGCAGAGGCTATCTTTGAGGATGCATCTAAACTTGCGTTCCCCCCACTTGAAGATGGACCACCAGATTTCTTGAGCTGCCGTTTCTCAATCTCTTGAATATCAGCTTCTATGCACTGGATTTGTTCCATTAGACTGGATGCGTCCTTTTGTTTTTGCTCATTCATTGATAAAAGAAAATGTGACAACAATTCGGATTCCTCATCTTCTTCATCAATGGATGACAATACCTCATTTCCATTCAATTCTTCAGATTCACTCATAAATTCAGAGAGCAAAATTTCTCTGTTGTTCAGCATTATTAAAGTCAGCAGTTGCTTACCCACACGCAATGGAGACCAAATCAAAATAAAATAGGGGCAGTCAAATTTCAGGAGCCTCATTCATATACCATCAGCAGCAGCAAGTAAATCTTAAATGCCTGTGAAGTATCGTTCCAACTTCTAACTACTGCATTAAAATTACATGATAATTTATCAAAACTAAGTTACTAACACCATAACTCTGAACTGTGAGTTATGGGTCTTATGGCATTAGTTACTTTATATTTAATTCCTATAATCATCAATTGAAACACAGTTTACTACAGCATATTACAGGCATACGTAACATATCTATTTATCTAGGCATCTGGACATCTAGCGCGGTTCTTTCTTTTTTGTTTTCTTCAAATTTTCCTTTTTTTCTTTTCTTAAGTAACAGCATTATATGTATGGTGCACGTTGACAGGTACTCTTCATAATCAGGTCATGATCTGATAATCTCAATAGCTGTTAACTGACTGTGTAGTTTACGAGCAACTAATGGAACTAAAAGAAGGTGAAATTGCAGATAGTAGAATATGAACTATAAAGTCCTAAATAGAGATCGTGAAATTACCTGGTGGTTGGGCGTAAAGAAGGCTCGGGATGAAGTAACCAAAGACAAAATCCAGCTTCCTTGGGATTCTCCAAAAGAAACCCAGGTGGAAGAATCCTATGGCGTAAATCATTCATTGCAGCAACATGAGATCTTCCGGAATCTAACGGGGAAAGTAACTGGAAGCACAATCCATATTGGGTAAAAAAGGCAGACCGTCAGTTACAATTGCTAACTGAGAAGACAATGAATGTCTCTCGATTCAAAGCAATTACTTGAGACATATAAACACAAACCTGGAAATGCTAACAGCAGTTTGAAAATTATAACACCAGGGCTAATTCCTAATAAAAAAACAGTTGATTCACCGGAGTCTAGAGTTTCTCTTAAAATTTAGAAGATGATCCATGTATTAAAAAATTGTCATCTAAATAAAATTAAAATAAGTGCCATAATACAAATCCCGGTTAAATAATTTTGGCTATCACATCCAACAGGTGCTTCTTAGGAGCTTGGTACAGTAAAAGGATAGATACAAGTCATTCACAAACCTCAAATAGAAGGACCCCCAAGCAATAGATATTTGACGCAAAGGTGCAGCCTTTCTCATTCAAAGACTCAGGACTCGTATACCACTTCTCTTCCAACATAAAACTCGTGGATCCACGTAATGCTTGCTCTGAATTAGGTGCAGCATTTTCCAACAATTTTCTGTGGCTCTTAGCCTCAGCTCTTGGATTGTTCTCTTCATCTAAATTACTGTTGAGGTCCCGAACGCTGGCACTTTCTACACCACCAATACTTAAAGATGCAGTTCTATTGGCAGGCCTTGGTGGAAACTGGATCCACCTCTGAATAAACTTCGCATTTTCACCTGACTTGTGCTTCTTCACAGAGTGACTGTTGTCATGATGCATTTGCCTCTTTTCATTATGATGAATATCTTGATCTCTCCATTTTATTTTAGTCCCCTCATGAACAGAAGATCCTAAATGCATGACCTGGTGTGACCCTGACACCTTGAAGCAGGAAGGCCTCAGGTCCTGAAGAGGAACTCCATGAGAATGTGAAATATCCACAAGATTGAGAACCTGCCTGAATATACGCATCTTCTCAACTTTATCTACCTTCGTTCCATCTGCTTCCAGCCATTCCCTTAAATTAACGCCATCACGGATACTTCTAGAACTAGGAGTTTCAAATGGGTTAGCAACACCATCCGTAAGAGGCTTCTTTGCGGTAAAATTTGATGGCGCAGCAGAATTTTTCAAATCTGACTCAGTAACAGATCCTCTGCCAGATTCGCTTCTATGTAGTACCCCTTTATCTCTCAAAGAACTCTTCACGAAAAACTCAGAAAACCCAGCTTTAGATATGACTTTTGTCCGGATGCTTCCAGAAGGGTGCGAAATTTCACCTGAGGCACTTTTATCCTCATTGCTCCAAACATTTTCACCGCTAGAATTATTGTCGTAATTTTGTGTCGACTGAAGTTCATTCAGTAACTCAGTGAAGTACTCATCGGTGTCATCTACCCGCTCACCTGAATCTGCCTGTCCTTTTCCTTCCTGGCCAGCTTGTTCGTGAGGATTATTATATCCTGATCTGCCATCTCGTTGGTACAAATTCTTCCAATGGTTCTGCCTATTGTTAGAAGCACCCACTACAGTCATTTTCTCACCATCATAATTTCTCAGAGTCAGTTCCTCAACCATGATCCCAGCATTATCCAGACAACGAGGACTTGCGCTGGCATGTTCGGATGAAACAAGCCTGTCTTGGTTTTTTGTATCCGAAATACCTGAATTTTGGTGTTTTGAGTTATTGCGATAATCATCTGCATCAGGCATTATCATGTCAGTCGAGTGAAGCATGCTGGAGCTACTGGGCCTTAGCGTCTCTTTATCACGGACACGTGTGTGGTTAACAGGATCAGACACGTCATCACCTACTGCCTCGTCCATACTGTCATCTAATCAGATAAAATTGATTTTTAACTGCAAACAAAGCTCAAAGCATTAGGTTACGACAAATGGGCACACACTAGGTGAATGCAGAAGATATAGTTCTGGGTTGTGCGAGCACGTCACTCTAACACGCGCGGAAGCTATTAAGTAAATACGAGTGACACACGCAAGATTACGGGCTCCAAGCCCAACCAATCACTCTAATTACTCAATCGTACAATGGAATGCCTTTCGGCTCACACAAAGGGTCCGAGCACACACACTCTCCTTTCGCTGAAGAGTCTAGTACAACTTAGCCTTACTGACGAAAAATTCTGAAAGCCCAAACTCCAAATACCCATCATCAATCAAATAATCAAAGAAATCATATCTGAAAGCTCGACGAGTGTTCTGTCTCCCCCATATTCACATGTAACCCAGAAAAAAGAAAGAAAAAGAAAAAACAGCAGTCCAACAACAGCAAAATACAGAATTAGACTCCCATCACGAAGGAAAAATCAGCAAACAAAACAGAGCTAATCACAGATACTTCCGAGTCATTAAACACAAATGTCGAGCAAATTTGAGAATCAAAAATAAAAAAACGAAGCAAAAAATAAATAAATAAAACAATTGAAGCTCGAGCTAAACGCTGTGCTGAGACATACCTCACCGGCGGCAATAACCAGGTAAAAATCATCGACAAATTGCAGAGCCAGTTCAGGGAGATGGCATGGTGAAAGAGAATCAAAGAGAAAAAGAGGGACAAAATGTGAGCCACTGAATTAAAAAGCCCTAATAATGATAATTATGGAATATTTTAGAGGGGGTTTTGAAGATGAGGGGAACTAGTGAGATTTATATAGTACTTGCCTAATATGGCAAAAGAAAATATCTCTTTCCTCTTTTGGACTACGTCGACACCTACACAACACACACTGGAATTCACAATTCATTAATAAAAATTTAATTTATATTTGTTTTTTTACTGGGTTTGATTTGTATTTGTTAATACAAGATTAACGTTGTATTTACAAGTTAAAACAGAAAATAGTCAAGATCTTTGCTTATGTGTATAATTGGGGATTGTATTTTATTTTATTTTCACTTTTATATTTTGATATTTTGGGACTCGTGAATGGGGTAGATTTGTCAAACAACACAAGTTGTTCGGTTTGAATTGTTAAAGGGTTGAGATTAAACGAGACGAGCTCGAGAATATGAAATTTTACGTAATGTATTTATTTTGATTTTAATTAAAATCGTGAAAAATTGAATTCAGCTCGACTCATTACACTTGGTGAGGTTTAAGATTATAAATTTATAATTGTATTCTTGGTGTTTACACTTCTTGAACAAAGTTTTTCTTTTTATCCAGTATTAATTATTTTAGGATTTGATATACTTGGGTTTTTTTACAGTTTACATTAAACTACATCTCATAATAAAATGATATATTTTAACACAAATTATTGTGTCAATTAATTTAATTGTTAATGGGTCAACTTTTTTTATTTTTTAATATCTTTTTATAAAATATTGTAATTTCTTTATTTTATTTTTGAAGAGTCATTTTAAATCTAAAAATATAAATAAACATAACTAGTACGGCATCCGTGTACTACACGGGTTGTTTGAAAAAAAAATATAAAACATAAAATAATAAAAAAAATTCATGTTGTTGTATAACTATTTCAACTCTTTAAAATATATTAGAAAGATATGTAATATTCTATAACTATTTCTATGTATTTTTATAGATATTCTAAAAAAATTTAGATAATTTATTTACCATGGTTTGGATTGAAAAGATATAATATGCAAGTGCTATATATGTGTTCAATTTATTTTTGTAAAATTATAGTATTTTTTTAATTTAAACTATATAAAAAAGTTATTGTTTACGTTAATTATATAAATAAAATAATATATAAAGCTAAATTTTTTATTTTGGTATTTCGTGAGTTACGTTTTTGGAGTTGGAGGATTTAAACGGCGGAGGATTTAAACGGCATATAAGAATCCTATCTATTTTGGAGTTGGAGTGATCAGATTAAGTAAAAATCCTATTTATTAAGTATTTTATTTTAAATAATTAGGAAATGTATCCGAACCAAAACCCAAACCCAAGTAAGTTTTCGAAGGGTGCAAGGCAACCATTTAGGCTCAACACGTTTTCAAATTATTTGGAGAGTGAGGGGATCAGATTAAGCAAAAATCTTATTTATTAAGTATTTTATTTTAAACAATTTGAAAATGTATCCGAACCAAAAGTCGAAGCATGTAATGTTGTCAAGTAAGTTTTCAAAGCGTGCGAGACAACCACTCAAGTTCTCAAATTATATTAAGAAAGGATTGCTTAAACCATCCAACTAACAAGTGTGAAAATATTATTAACAATGTGATAAGATATGTGCTAATGAATTTAGAAAGCAATGGCTACTGTTGTATTTTATTGACTTCATATTATCTTTTTTACTTTTACTATAAAAAATAACAATTCTTAACTATATCACATTTTTGCATATAGTTATGTAAAAAATAAAGGCAAAAATGGCTAGGAAACCTCCACGTCCAACAGACGTAGTAACTAAACTAGGATCCAACAGGGAAAGTAATGCCAAGTCATGCTAACGTGGCTGTTTATGGGGCATATTTCATACTCGCCCATCTATTGGCTGGTTTATTGCCACGTCACTCTCGATGAAATCTAAAGGAATTTAATTTGCCAAAACTAAAAGGGTAAATCAGTAAATGATGATTTGGTGATTGGTCAAACATGACGGGAGGAAGGCGGAACAAATAAAAACCGTAAACCAAATAAAGAGAAAAAAAATGTAAATTGTTACTCACTTCTAGACCATCCATTCTATAATGTTATTTCAATTAGTGTTAATTTGCCACCAATTAATAAAGTATATAATATAATTTATAAATTAAAATGCATAACATCCCCTTTATATGCCTTTGTTTATATTCGATCTTATGCACACGCAAAATATAAACATAGTTTTATAATTTATGTGTATATATAATATTTAAAATCATAAATTAGATAACGAGTATATCAAATTTCAAAAATTTTATTATTAGTAAAAATAAATAATGTAAATATGAATTATTTAACTTAAATATGAATCACTATATTGATTGAAACAATGAATTTTTTTAGAAGTTTGAATGATTGTGATCAATTAATTAGATGAAAAAATATATAGATTAATATTATAAAAATTGTGCATGGAATTTAAGGGGTTTGGTCATGTCATAAAATATAATTAACTAATTAAAAAAAATGCTTAATGAGATGAAAAAAAGGTCATAATAATTTTAGATAAATTGTTTGAAAAAAAGTGGCAATATAATTTTTTATAGGTTATAGTTTCATATATCATTTAGTGTTACTTTATGATTATTTAGTAGTTGTTATTATGTAATAAAATTAATAAAAAAAATATTTGCTTGATTAATGCAAAATATAACGGTTTATTTTCAAAATTAGTTGAAAACAATGAGCACAAAAAAATTGCTTTTTAATTAAATGATCAGTCTGCCATTATATGTATAAATTTGATCACACTTGTCAACTAAATTGAGCAGCTCCCGAAGAATAGCTAGTTAAGGCTCGAGTTCGACTTGTTTCATTTTCTGAACTAGCCAAGCTTGAGGTTATTTAACAGTTCATTTAGTTAGAGCCTAACTCAGTTTGGATCCTTAAGCTCATTTGCATAATATTTTAAACTACCATCATTAAAGCTCGAGTTTTAGAAGCTATTTGACTCATTAATTTTGATAAATGAATTGAGCATGGTATCTTTTATTGGCTTGATAAGTTATTTAGTTACGCTCAAGTTTATTTGATAAGTTGTTCATCCTCTTGCAAGGCCCTGGAAATTAGCTTGGTACATAAATCATAAATGAGCAAGCATTAATCTCAATTCTCAACCCCAAGAGATAATGAACATCATCCAAATTTCAACATTTTTTTTTGTTTGGTCCACTAACAGCGTACTTCAAATTTATGGACTCAAAATGCAAATTTCCTCCAATGTTTAACCCAAATATTTTCCATTCTTACTCATTGCCTCTGTATTAGACAAACAAAGGGGGAAAAACTCAAAAAAGACTGTCTACATAAAATTCTCTAACTAACCAGCTATAAACCACTCAAAAGCTACTTAGCTTACCTTCGGAAGGACGCAACAAACTCCTCCATTCTCGAGTTCGTGCACGAATCATCCGAATCACAAGAGTCATCATCACTTGAGTTAAATTTCTCATGAAGAGCTCGAGAATCACTTTTTGGCTCATAAGTTGATTTGAAAACATCATCTTCCTTCTCATGAATTGAGAAAAAGTCCTTGCTTTTACTCTTCTTAGTCAAATCTGCAATTAATTCCTCCAAGCAATTCGATGCTTTTCGCTTGCCATACGACAGGCCAACATCAAGATTCATCTCGTTTGACTCGTTAAGGCGCACATCCACACGACCCGAATGAAAACCAGAATAAGGTTTTACTATACATGCATTCTTCTCTTTTGCCGAACACCGAACCATGCTTCTAACACCTGCAGCATAACGTTTGACAATCTTCTTTCACCATTTTTCTTTTTATTTAAGATAAATACAACTTAAAACGTCTTGCTGGATGGGTTTGCTTTCATATGCAAATTAAAAGTAGCATGACCTCATCTTTGACACATGTAAACAGATATAATTGGAACAACAAACCTCAAGTACATTCTCAATTATAAATGTCAAAAAGACAGGTTTCAACTGAGAAAAAGGTTACTTAATACCAGCCCAAAGTGAAACAAACAAGAAAAAAAAAATGACACATATTATCTAAATTTTAAATGCATTAGATTGATGTTAGAGCTCAGATTTACTATGGAGCACGAATCTGGCTTTGCTGATTACCTGTTAAAGGCTTCATCTTGTTGACTACTTAGCACGACTTTTTGTATGACTACTCAGATGGAGGCAGCATTCTTATTCAATTAGAAAGAAGATTGCATGCAGAAACTGAAAAAAGAGTGTATCAAAAATCTTGAGTAAAATGTCCAAGCAAGTGAGATCTTATAGAGTCTTCTCAATTGTCCAGGTAACTTGAGTAAAATGTCGGATGATTTCGCAATTGTATAGTCTTCTTTCAACTATAAGCAATTGATCTATTTGCCAAAAGCAGCCATGCATATTTATTCCCATTTCACAAAACGTTCAACTGGAAACAGAACCTGAGTTCAATAACTAATGATATACTTTATTTAGTCATAAGAACCAAACGAAATACCAGACTTTCATGCGCATTTGAATTTTGATACAAAGTAATGAAAAGATGGTAAATATATACCAAAACCAGATGGTGCTCCATGATGATCATCTTGAACTGTATCACTCCTTTCTGCTTCAGGAAGACCGTGAGGTAACTTTGAAGTGCACGAAGATTTAACAAAGTGTGAATCATCCTTTCGCGTCCAAGGTTTAGCTAATTTTCGGTCACCTACATGCAACAATGGAAATAACATTTTGATGCTGCGGTAAAAACACCCAACAACTAAAACTATGACGTTGATTACACACACACACTGTTCAAATCATGGACTACTTTTCTGGATAATTTATTTCCAAAGGAGCGCATATTATCCCAATAATAAAGTAATACACAATCAAAGCTCTGGATCAGTACAACAAATTTGTCACTACCTCTATGGTTCTGCAGATTATCAAATAAAGACGTAGCAATCCCTGAAAACAAAATCCTTTTAACGAAGTTCAAACAATTGAGTCTCATGACAGCAAAATATGTCCGGGCAATATG